GAGTGCCAGATGGACAGTTTGCACTTTCGGGACTACTCCATTGACCCCGGTTTGCCAGGAAAGCTCAGTCAAGGGCAGCTGAAGTATTTGGAAGAAAACAAATACTATTTGAACCCAGGTATGTCTCTATCTACACAGGGCTCCCACAATCATGTACAACCAGTGATTTAGAGCCGAGAGGTTTTTACAACAACAAACTATGAGTATGTTGTATTGTGCGATATGTCAGAATTAATCGTTTGTACCTGAAAGTAAGTAAAATAACCTGCTCTGTTTGCATGACCGCTTTTGTCTTTACACCACAGGAGGCTGCTGAGGGGAGGACGGCTCATAATAATGGCTGGAATGGGAGTAAATGGAATGATATCAAATGCATGAAAACGTGTTTGATGTGTTCGATACCATTCCATTGATTCCGTTCCAGCCATTACTATGAGCCCGTACTCCCAAATGAAGGTGCCACCAGCCACCTGTGCTTTAGAGAGAGAAAATAAAAGTGTTTAACAAGTTGGCTCACGCTAAAAACACATGACAGCTCGCAAAACAATGTGCTGTTACAACTTGGCATTAAAAGAGCGGACGTTTACTGAGGCTCATTTAAATGACTGCCTGCACAGCACTCACCAGGTAACCCCTATTATAACAGGTAGAGAGCATGAGTGGGTGGGTGGGTGAGTGGGTCTAGGCTGGGCTGGGTTGTACAGTGAGCCTTTAACAGGCTTGTGGGAGGGCCATCCTGTAAATGAATGAACACCTGGATTAATAGGGTCACAGAACACAGACATGTTGAGGAGGGAGAATCCCAGCCAAGGCTGCCCTTTTAATCCCATCGCCCCTTTTTTCGGCCATGCACCATTTAAAAGCAATGTTACCGCGGTCGTGGAGATCACATTCAAGGTAAATGCTGAAGATGTTGGCTCAATCAGAAATTACCTTTAAATGTCAAGCGCACTACAACACGGATCTTCCACAGTCCAGATTGAATCCTGGCCTAAGTAACAGCACATTTCAACACATTTCTCCTCCTCTGGTCCTGCATGGTTTAGAGGGGGAGCAGGTGGAGGAACTACAAGCTTACAGATGGAAGAGGAGAGGAGGCATGGAAGCTCTGGGTCCATCTAGGGGAGAATCTCCACGCCTCCTTCTGAAAACCCATTGGATGAGAAGGTCAGAGCATTGGATGATAAGGTCAGAGGTCCCTCCCCTCTGACCTTCTAATCCAATGGTTTTTGCATAGGGGGGAGGAGAGAAGACGTGAGGAAATGCAATTGAGATTCTCCCTATAAATATTCTGGGTCACTTGAAGATGTCATGTACAGTAGCCTTTCATCATTCTAGCTATTTCACTTTACATATGAGAGAGAGAGAGAGAGAGAGAGAGAGAGAGAGAGAGAGAGAGAGAGAGATAATTGAGAGAGAGAATTGAATTGAGAGATGGAGAGAATTGAATTGAGAGAGAATTGAGAGAGAGAGAGATCAAGAAAATGAATGAATATAAGTCTAAACTGGTAATACACACAGGCTTCTAAACAAAGTGGTTGGGTGACCCAGCAGGAGAGAGGGATGAAGAGAGAAGAAAGCCTGATGTCCTCATCAGCTCATTAAGACCTTCATCTGCCAGCACTCTGGCTCACCCACCTGATGGTGCATTAGAGACTTCCAGACGTCAACAATTCAACTTTATAGTACCCCCCCCCCCCCCCCCCCCCCCCCCCCCCCCACACACACACACACACACACACACACACACTTAGCCTACACACACATACACGTGCATGCACACACACTCACATATATACATGCATACATGCTCAAAAACACACACACACATGGATGCACTCACACAGTGTGGTACTCAGGGGGCCAAACAGGTCATTCCCAAGCATAAGACAAACAGGTCATTCCCAAGCTCCAGCTTAACGCTCCTTTCAGACACTGATCTAGGATCAGACAGCAGGAACAAGTACTTTTTATACCTGCAAACTCGACAGACAGCAAAGTTACTATATATCATAATTGATCATCAAGGTAGGAGTGCAAAATGGCTGTGGTCTGCCCCAAATTACACACACATGACTTGAGTTGATCTCTGTGTTGGTTGACATACCAGGGGTTATTATTATACTGAATTCCCTTTAAATGCATTTTAGACAGTAGGCATAGTGTACATGGAATTATGACTGAGGGACTGGTCATCCAGAATATTCCTAGATGGAGCCAGAGCTTCTATACTTCTCCTCCTCCTGCTGCCCCTCCAGACCAGACCAGGCCAGGCCAGACCAGACCAGACCAGGCCAGGCCAGATCAGACCAGGGGAGGAGTAATGCGTTTGAGAGCAGATATGCCGTTCGTCCATTGCTTTGTTTTATTAATGGATGGATGATATTTATGGATGATTCTATCATTGTTTGGGGATGAAATAACAGTTAAAATTAAATATTCAATGACATCAGAACATAGTTGTAGCTGTTATCCAAATGTAAAATCCAATAGATAACTCACTCATCCTTTACCTCATTTTCAGAGAAAATGCAGTTATTGATCAATGAACTCACCAAATTGTCTCAATGATCTCATACCCCACAAGGGGCCAAAGCTACATGGATTTCCCTCTAAAGCACACGTGTCAAACTCATTCCACGGAGGGCCGAGTGTCTGCGGGTTTTCGCTCCTCCCTTGTATTTGATTGATTAATTAAGGTCAGTAATTAGTAAAGAACTCCCCTCACCTGATTGTCTAGGTCTTAATTGAAAGGAAAAACCAAAAACCTGCAGACACTAGGCCCTCCATGGAATGAGTTTGACACCCCTGCTCTAAAGGATGCAAAACAATAAACAGCTAGTTGGGTGTAAAACTGTCTATGGATTGGTTGTTCATGCTATTCCCGCCCATTTCAAAAGACTGTATTGTGAACCAAATTGATTTAACCACACGTGTCAAACTCATTCCACGGAAGGCTGAGTATCTACGGGTTTTCACTCCACCCTTGTAATTAAGGTCACTAATTAGTAAGGAACTCCCCTCACCTGGTTGTCAAGGTCTTAATTGAAAGGAAAAACCAAAAACCTACAGACAATCGACCCTCCGTGGAATGAGTTTGACACCCGATTTAACCTATGATTCTATACAGCAGGGATATTCAAATCATACCCTGGAAGTCCGGAGTACTGCTGGTTATCTGTTCTACCTGATCATTAATGGCACCCACCTGGTATCCTAGGTCTAAATCAGTCCCTGACTAGAGGGGAACAATGAAAAATAAAGCAGTGGAACTGGCTTCCAGTCCAGATATGAATATGAGGGCTATACAGTATCAGTTGTAGGTACATGCAGCCACCAAACAAACTTAACATAGACTAAGATCCCTAAGGGTTTAGATTAAACCACTGAGGTTCTCCCATGCTCAGTCAGCACCATCTTCACTACCAGTGTAGGTCATGTGACAGAATGTGAAATCAGCACCATTTTCACTACCAGTGTAGGTCATGTGACAGAATGTGAAGGCAGCACCAGCTTCACTACCAGTGTAGGTCATGTGACAGAATGTGAAGGCAGCACCAGCTTCACTACCAGTGTAGGTCATGTGACAGAATGTGAAGGCAGTACCAGTTTCACTACCAGTGTAGGTCATGTGACAGAATGTGAAGGCAGCACCAGCTTCACTACCAGTGTAGGTCATGTGACAGAATGTGAAGGCAGGGCCTTCTTCCCTACCAGGGTAGGTCATGACAGAATGTGAAGGCAGCACTGCCATCTAGTGAACATAGTATGCGCATGTAAATCAGGGATCTTCAACTCTGGTCATGGAGGCTGTGCAGGCATTACTTCCAGCACTAACCATAGAGCGGTTCTATAGGATCATTAAATTGCACCCACCTGGTGTCCCAAGTCTACATTAAAAGTCAGTGGAACTGGCTTCGAGTTCCAGATTGAAATGTTCCTGCCATATGAAGTCCCAGCCAGTTGACAAGCCCTACCTAAGCCCGTTTTGGCATTGGGTCAAGAGCGCCCTCTAGTGATCTCTTTGGTTGGTACCAACACATCTGCTTCAGTCAGATTTAAATACTTGAGTCAGGCATTTTAGTACTGGTGTAGAACAAAAGCCTGCAAAGCTTTTCATGACAAGACCCCCTGATATAAAACAATTAGCGGTCCTCATGTTCATTCCGTCACTGTGATGTGATTAGAACAGCTACTTCCGTTCATTAGCATGTACTCCTGTCAAAGACAGTGGGCCATCAGTGTACATTATAGAAGTAGCTTCTTCCCCTTGCCTTTATCTATTGATATGAAAGAATGTCATTCCTGGTCAGCACATACCAAAGATCTGAGAGATGAAGCCAGACTCACCAAGAAAATATAACAATGAGAAAAGTTTGATTCACCCATTTGATTTCTAAAATCATAACCTGTGGTGCGTTCCAAGTATGCTGGTCAATGACAAATACATAAAGGCATCTGATCTGCAGGCCTGCCATGACAAGAAACGTTTCACTTTCCAGGAGAAAGAGGAGGCAATAGTACCAGCCAGTATCTCAAACCACTTTGTTCCCAATTAATGTTTATAATTGCATCTTTACCTGAAATTATCAGTAAATCAAAACAAAAAGTGACAAATGCATTTTGAACATATGAAAAGCCTTAACGTTGCAAATAAAGAGACTACAGAGTATCACGTTATTGTGAACATTTATTCAATGGCCCAGGAGCAGCCGTTACATGGTACTGCAAGACTTACAGTAACAAATACAAAACAAGGCAGAATGACAACCCAAACACTGTACCTACCCAGAAACCACCCTGTCACCACCCCCCCAGGACACTATGTAGAACTGAAACAATATGGCTGTAGCTCCACCATGCTCCGATTAGGATAGGTGGAATTAGCATCTGATCATTTTAGATCCACACAAATGCTTAGGGGATAGGGGCAAGGTGCTTGCTTCTGGACAAACAGATTCCCTGAAAGGAGTGTAACACTGAGGTTAAGAGTCAAGGCTTTAGAAACATTTGCGGTGGACGATGGAAGGGCCGGACTCGTCGTATTCCTGCTTGGAGATCCACATCTGCTGGAAGGTGGAGAGAGAGGCCAGGATGGAGCCGCCGATCCATACAGAGTATTTACGCTCTGGAGGGGCGATGATCTGGAGACGACAGATTTAAATATATTTATTAGGCACAAAACAGGGAGGTCATCTAAAGTTGTTTTAGTGCAGAATACATTCATGTGATTTCTGATAGCTTGTGATTGGCTTGTTATGCAAGTATTTTGGAAGCCAAAAAGAGACTGCGGGGATAGGGCTAGTTGAAAGATGCCACAATGCTCATGGGCTGAAATTCACAGAATCGCACATGAATGCCCACCTTAATCTTCATAGTAGGGGGTGCCAAGGCGCTGATCTCCTTCTGCATTCTATCGGCGATGCCAGGGAACATGGTGGTTCCACCAGAGAGGACAGTGTTGGCGTACAGGTCTTTCCTGATGTCCACATCACACTTCATGATGGAGTTGTAGGTGGTCTCGTGCACTCCAGCGCTTTCCATTCCTACAAAAGAAATGTACATGTCGATGGCAGCCCTAGGAACAGAAATGAATAGGCCTACGAGTATGGGTCTTATAATGAGGACAGTGAACACTCAACTGTCATGCTTCTCACGGAAAGCCCCATAGGAACATTGTGAACATGGCTCGTGTAGTGGTGAATGACTGTCACTAAGCGGCGTAACATTGTCTAGACGAGCACTTGTACATGCGCTAAAGAGCGACTCCAGTGGCTGAATGCAGCCTATGTCCGCTGATTTTCAAAAAGTTGGGTGTTTAGTGCTTATGAATATTCATATCAATATATAAAGAGGGTGCGTCTTGAATGTCACCTCTACCAAGAGAAACATCACCATTTTCAGAGCCTCCGTTTTAGTAGTGGATAGAAACATTTATGACAAAGCCCCAAACTATCACATTTTCACCACCATGTGGAGTTCAGGACCAGAATTACTATAGTCACCAACCATAGACAAATGGCTTTTAACAAGAAAATGTTTAGCTAAAATTCCTCTTTAATACAAAGAAAAACCTCTCACCAATGAAGGACGGCTGGAACATGGTCTCAGGGCACCGGAAGCGCTCGTTGCCGATAGTGATGACCTGTCCATCAGGTAGCTCGTAGCTCTTCTCCAGAGTGGAACTGGAGGCACAGGTCTGCATCTCCTGCTCGAAGTCCAGTGCCACGTAGGACAGCTTCTCCTTGATGTCGCGCACAATCTCCCTCTCGGCCGTGGTGGTGAAGCTGTAGCCACGCTCAGTCAGGATCTTCATGAGGTAGTCCGTGAGGTCGCGTCCGGCCAGGTCCAGACGTAGAATGGCATGGGGAAGAGCGTAGCCCTCGTAGATGGGCACCGTGTGGCTGACGCCATCCCCGGAATCCATCACAATTCCTGTGGTGCGGCCAGATGCGTACAAAGATAGCACAGCCTGGATACCTACATACATGGCAGGGCTGTTGAAGGTCTCAAACATGATCTGGTAGAATAAGAGAAGGTGGGAATTAGGACTACACAAAACGTTTTTAACACCTACAAGTACTGCTAGGAATATGAGGCCCACCACTAATCGATACCTACCCTCAGGCAAGGTGAACAGAGTAACCCTGATATCTACTGCGCTACATTCTGGTAGTGGATGAGGAGTTTCTTCACATTATGCAGTAAATAAAATGGCTGGGTTTATTTACTACTGCCACAGTGTTTTAGAGCATCCCGTCCTGCTCCACCCCCCATTACCTGGGTCATCTTCTCCCTGTTGGCTTTGGGGTTGAGGGGGGCCTCCGTGAGCAGGACGGGATGCTCTTCGGGGGCCACACGCAGCTCATTGTAGAAGGTGTGATGCCAGATCTTCTCCATGTCATCCCAGTTGGTAACAATGCCGTGCTCGATGGGGTACTTCAGAGTCAGGATGCCTCTCTTGCTCTGGGCCTCGTCTCCCACGTAGCTGTCCTTCTGTCCCATGCCCACCATCACACCCTGGGGAAAGACACTACCGTTACACTTTGTCCCTGCACTACGCAAGTTACGATACACTATAGAAGTTGTTTCCATGAAATGTTGGCTTGAGAGTTGCCTGCATCTTTCACATACACATCACCTCATGAAACCACAATCTTTAGTTTTAGGCTACCAACAATTATGCTTTTGTTAATGGGTTTGGGGAGAGGTCACTTTCTTTTTTAATGAGGCAATTTCTGGGTGGACCTCGCTTTGTGCACCGGGGCATTGTCATGCTGAAACAGGGAAGGGCCTTCCCCAAACTGTTGCCACAAAGATGGAAGCACAGAATTGTCTAGAATGTCATTGTATGCTGTAGCGTTAAGATTTCCCTTCACTGGAACTAAGGGGCCTAGCCCGAACCATGAAAAACAGCCCCAGACAATTATTCCTCTTCCACCAAACTTTATAGTTGGCACTATGCAGTCGGGCAGGTAGCGTTCTCCTGGCATCCACCAAACCTAGATTCAGCCGTCGGATTGCAAGATGGTGAAGCATGATTCATCACTCCAGAGAACGCGTTTCCACTGCCCCAGAGTCCAATGGCGGCTAGCTTTACACCACTCCAGCCAACGCATGGTATTGAGTATAAGGATCTTAGGCTTGTGTGCGGCTGCTCGGCCATGGAAACCCATTTCATGAAGCTCCCGACAAACAGTTATTGTGCGGACGTTGCTTCCAGATGCAGTTTGGAACTCGGTAGTGAGTGTTGCAACCGAGGACAGCACTCTGCAGTCCCATTCTGTGAGCTTGTGTGGCCTACCGCTTCGCGGCTGAGTCGTTGTTGCGCCTAGACGTTTCCACTTCACAATAACAGCACTTACAGTTGACCGGGGCAGCTCTAGCAGCGCAGAAATTTGACCAACTATCTTGTTGTTAAGGTGACATCCTATGACGGTGCCACGTTGAAAGTCACTGAGCTCTTCAGTAAGGCCATTCTACTGCCAATGTTAGTCTATGGATTTTATACACCAGTCAGCAACCGGTGTGGCTGAAATAGCAGAATCTACTAATTTGAAGGAGTGTCCACATACTTTCGTATATACACACTATATAGCCTATATCAAGTGAATCAGAGATATCCAAGAGACCAGTATGGTTCCAACCTGATGTCTGGGTCTTCCAACAATGGAGGGGAAGACAGCACGCGGAGCGTCATCCCCTGCGAAACCAGCCTTGCACATGCCTGAACCATTGTCGACCACCAATGCAGCAATATCGTCTTCGGCCATTCTGCAAAACAATTGAGGATTAGTGAATCAAGGCCTAAAAAGCAGGAACAAAGCCATACATATTAAAATTGCCTGGTGTAGGTTATACCTTCAATACATACCACCAACTACAGTATTATTTATATTTTACAAATTAGGAAGTCGTCATTAGTAAGTGTATACATAGGACCATTGCCAACTTGAATTCGAAACAATTCATTAGTTAAAATGTTTAACCACAGTAGTAACTGTTTAAGAGCACTAGTCTACTAACAGACCCTGTAAAACAGTAGAATTGAACCAAATATGATAATTTGGAACAAAGCAAAAATAATTCCAACCAGTCATTAATTCTCTCTCAATATATTGCTCTGATTCCAACAGCTCAACCGCGTATTCACAGACAAATCCAAGCAAAGCATTTTTCAAATCAAGTGATTTTAACCATTGCTAGAATAGTAACACATTTAATGATAAAACTCGACTAAAAAGGCGTCACCATTTCAGATTGGCTTTCCCAAACGTTGGAAGAATGGCGTTTGCTTACCTGTCAGTTAGGATGTTTTCTCTTCAAGAATCCGGCAATAATTATGTTTTCAGCAAGGTGTGCGCGGCATCCACGTTTCAGCAGGAGGCTACCTCCTTTTCTCCACAACCGTGCATCATCCTCCGCCTTCGCGTTCACCTGCTCACACCAAATATGGGCATAGTTTTCAGAAAAAGACACCGGATTGGATTGGAACGTGTTTTACGGTGGAGTGACCGACCATCGTAATGTCATTCACAGGGTAGACGACATTAAAGAGACTGGATTTACTGGAAGGGAACAGGTACATTGGGTTAGCCTACAGGTTTTGGGTAATTTAAATTCAGTAGAATTTGGAAATGTAATAGACGTTGTGGAATGTGTTAGCAGAGAGAGGACGCACCATAAACATTGTGGAAAATAAAATGGGAAAAGAGGACTGGTGCGCTCATTTTGCAGTGAGACAAAAGTAGCCTATAGTGCGCGACCAGATATAATACCTCTATGTGCGCGATCCCCTCGTAATGTATGAACATGTCTTCATAATGTTCATAATGCATTGCATTAGATCTGCGCGCCCTGGACCAGAGCGTTGCATATGTATGCTATGCTACCCTTCATAGTCTGTAGACATTGATCAAATACATATTAACCCATGTCAAATACGTGACCTGTGCTTCATCATTCAGTACTTTACAATGGAACCATTGGGATACTCCCAAAAGTCCAAACTCAAAGCGCGTAGTATACACATGCAGCCCAGTTCGGATCTGATTGGTCAAAATACAAAACATTGGGCAAAATATAAGAATTGGGCTGCCTTTGGGTAAAAATCTGGTATAATTGCTCACGAAATACAGGCTAACAGAGGGCTAGGAGGGAATTCTTGTCTAAAAAAACGTCAAGGTGTGAGAGGCCTGTACTTGTCTGTAGGGCTATAATTGGCTAACAGGTAGTAGTGGTGCATGAGTAAAATCACTGGGGAAGCTAAGCCAGAAGAAAAGCCATATTATGACCTATGTGTTGTGATGATTGCTCTATAACCTGTTAGTTCATATGCCTTGCCACCATGATATATAAGCCTAAGGCCGAGACAATAAGAAGACACAGTGGCAGATTAAATTCAATCACACCTTTGTTTCATCACAAAACCGGAGAGCAACATCTGCCTGGTAAAGTCCACAAAGCATATTTCGTGTAACAAACAGTTACATGACCTACATCATGGTCAAGCAAGTTAATGTTTCCGACATTTTTGGACTACAAAACAACTATTGATTTAGAACCATGGAGAGTTACTGCAAGTTGCAAATAAAACAGAAGCTGCCTCCACTAGTTCCGGGATTCTTCAGACAGCATTGAGGAGTACACCACATCAGTCACTGGCTTCATCAATAAGTGCATCGATGATGTCGTCCCCACAGTGACCGTACGTACATACCCCAACCAGAAGCCATGGATTACAGGAAACATCCGCACTGAGCTAAAGGGTAGAGCTGCCGCTTTCAAGGAACGGGACTCTAACCCGGACGCTTATAAGAAATCCCGCTATGACCTCCGACGAACCATCAAACAGGCAAAGAGTCAATACAGGTCTAAGATTGAATCATACTACACTGGCTCTGACGCTCGTCGGATGTGGCAGGGCTTGAAAACTATTACAGACTACAAAGGGAAGCACAGCCGCGAGCTGCCCAGTGACACAAGCCTACCAGACGAGCTAAACCACTTCTATGCTCGCTTCGAGGCAAGCAACACTGAAGCATGCATGAGAGCACCAGCTGTTCCGGACGACTATGTGATCACGCTCTCCGTAGCCGATGTGAGTAAGACTTTTAAGCAGGTCAACATTCACAAGGCCGCAGGGCCAGACGGATTACCAGGACGTGTACTCCGAGCATGTGCTGACCAACTGGCAAGTGTCTTCACTGACATTTTCAACATGTCCCTGACTGAGTCTGTAATACCAACATGTTTCAAGCAGACCACCATAGTCCCCGTGCCCAAGAACTCTAAGATAACCTGCCTAAATGACTACCGACCCGTAGCACTGACGTCTGTAGCCATGAAGTGCTTTGAAAGACTGGTCATGGCTCACATCAACAGCATAATCCCAGAAACCCTAGACCCACTCCAATTTGCATACCGCCCCAACAGATCCACAGATGATGCAATCTCTATCGCACTCCACACTGCCCTTTCCCACCTGGACAAGAGGAACACCTACGTGAGAATGCTATTCATTGACTACAGCTCAGCATTCAACACCATAGTGCCCTCTAAGCTCATCACTAAGCTAAGGATCCTGGGACTAAACACCTCCCTCTGCAACTGGATCCTGGACTTCCTGACGGGCCGCCCCAGGTGGTAAGGGTAGGTAACAACACATCTGCCACACTGATCCTCAACACGGGGGCCCCTCAGGGGTGCGTGCTCAGTCCCCTCCTGTACTCTCTGTTCACCCATGACTGCATGGCCAGGCACGACTCCAACACCATCATTAAGTTTGCCGACGACACAACAGTGGTAGGCCTGATCACCGACAACGATGAGACAGCCTATAGGGAGGAGGTCAGAGATCTGGCCGTGTGGTGCCAGGACAACAACCTCTCCCTCAACGTGACCAAGACAAAGGAGATGATTGTGGACTACAGGAAAAAAAAGAGGACTGAGCACGCCCCCATTCTCATCGACGGGGCTGTAGTGGATCAGGTTGAGAGCTTCAAGTTCCTTGGTGTCCACATCACCAACGAACTATCATGGTCCAAACACACCAAGACAGTCGTGAAGAGGGCACGACAAAGCCTATTCCCCCTCAGGAGACTAAAAAGATTTGGCATGGGTCCTCAGATCCTCAAAAAATTCTACAGCTGCACCATCGAGAGCATCCTGACTGGTTGCATCACCGCCTGGTATGGCAACTGCTTGGCCTCTGACCGCAAGGCACTACAGAGGGTAGTGCGTACGGCCCAGTACATCACTGGGGCAAAGCTCCCTGCCATCCAGGACCTCTATACCAGGCGGTGTCAGAGGAAGGCCCTCAAAATTGTCAAAGACTCCAGCCACCCTAGTCATAGACTGTTCTCTCTGCTACCGCACGGCAAGCGGTACCGGAGTGCCAAGTCTAGGTCCAAAAGACTTCTCAACAGCTTCTACCCCCAAGCCATAAGACTCCTGAACAGCTAATCATGGCTACCCGGACTATTTGCACTGCCCCCCCACCCCATCCTTTTTACGCTGCTGCTACTCTGTTAAGTATTTATGCATAGTCACTTTAACTCTACCCACATGTACATATTACCTCAACTACCTCAACTAGCCGGTGCCCCCGCACATTGACTCTGCAACGTTACCCCCCTGTATATATAGCCTCCCTACTGTCACTTTATTTTACTGTATATATAGCCTCCCTACTGTCACTTTATTTTACTTCTGCTCTTTTTTTCTCAACACTTTTTTGTTGTTGTTGTTTTATTCTTACTTTTTTTGTTTAAAATAAATGCACTGTTGGTTAAGGGCTGTAAGTAAGCATTTCACTGCAATGTCTGCACCTGTTGTATTCGGCGCATGTGACCAATACAATTTGATTTGATTTGATTTGATTTGAGTTCAGCAATATTTAAACTTCAAAATTTCAACATCATCAAATCACCTCTGCTTAGTCTAATACAGTGACAACTAAAAGATACCAAAAACTATTAAGTCCAATCAATGTAAGCTAAATATGACCTGGCTGTCCATGGTTCTGATTTCTGTGTGTGTGTTCTTGCAAGTAGAAAAAAAAAACATGTTGACTCACCCTACTTGTTGAGAAACGCCAATGCCATCCTCCTGTCTTTCATGTTGACGAAACGGTCTATGACTCTGTCATACAGTACAGTACACGCTTTAATTTTTGGTTGTCCTAGGCAACATGGCTAAAATGCTTTTTCGCTGGCCTGACTTCCTTTCATGGGCAACGATGAGCCAGCTACTTAACATTAGCCTACTACATCTAGCTACATATTGAACTTCCATCCTCTCAGGCCAGGGCACAATGTATGAATTTATGGTTGGATCAGCATTTCCGTTATAATCATTGGCCAGTATGGAGAATGAAGTAAAATCCCTATCTCCATCCATGGCTAATTTAGGAAAGGGACAATTTTAGCTAGCTAGCTAGCCACCAGAGGACACCAACACAACGAGATGCAACAATTCAGGGTTTTTCTGTCAATGACGTTTTGCTTTGATGTGATGTGATTGGTGTGAAGCCAAATCCAATCTGGCTTCCCTTGGCAGTTTTATTTGGTGTGCCAGGATCATTAACAGTTGAGCTCACCCAGTATAGGTCATTGCTGATTGGCTATTATATAATACTTTTTTTTATCAAGGGAGGCCAAATGCTTGCTGGCTTCCCTTGCATTCAAAGCTATGGGTGGCAACAATGTCATACTCTTTTTGACCAGACAGCATCGGATAGATGGGCTACACATACAGAGACAGAGGGGCGCTG